GGAGTCGCCACCAATCTTTTTTATCTAGATGCAATTGGTCACCTAAAGAATCTGTCCTTTCAGGGAACTCCTAAGTTTAAGGGTCCTTAAAAGAATAGGTTCAGGTCTACTAACCAGAACAGGGTTCAGGAGTTCGATTACGTGTGAGAAAGGTTATAGCACCCTCACAACGCCCATCAAAAGATGGTACCAGCTTAAATTTATGTTATCTAATGAACCTTAAAAATTTACCAAGTGATTAATTATTAGAAATTATTTTCAATTGACTCTAATATTTTTAGCAAAAAATTGAGAAAATTTCCTCACCTCAGGAGTATGTAAGAAAAACTACTGTTTCACTTGCAGAGGCTTCATCGTCGGATTATTTAACATTAAAAAATAAAAAAGAAGAAAAGAACGATTGTTTTTTTTTTGTGTAAGAAAAATTGATACTTTTAACTTTTTCTCAAAATACTTTTTGAAAACTTTAATTTTGAGGAAAATTGATACTTTCAACTTTTTCCCAAAAATATTTTTTTGAAACCTTAATTTCGAGGAAAATTGATACTTTCAACTTTTTCTCAAAAACTTTTTTGGAAAATTTATTTTTAAAGAAAATTGATACTTTCAACTTTTTTTAAAAAATATTTTTAGAAAATTTATTTTTAAGGAAAATTGATATTTTCAACTTTTCCTCAAAAATATTTTTTTGAAATTTTATCATTTTATTTTTTATTTTTTTGAATTCACTCTAAAAGTAATATATAAATAATAGGAAAAATAACAAAAAAATATCAAAATAAATCACACCTTGACTCAGGATTGTAACTCGACTTCACACGTAAGAAACTGTTCGACTTGTGGCTCAAGCTCCATTTGATGATGTGGGCTAGCGGCTCGGGTGACAATGGAACACAGGTCGGGTGAACAAAAACACGTAGGTCAATTGAATTTTAGCAAACGAAACAACATCGTTTCATGCAAAATATAAAAGCACAAAGATTTGCTGCTACCATCGTTTCAATTTCTGCCCTTTTTCTAAAGTTTTTAGAAATACATAGCTGCAAAGTCCCAAAGGTTTCCAGATTCTGGTGCCAGTATCGCCCCATGCCTCCATCACAGGTCACCGTCACTGATATCCGTTGACTGTCGCTCCCCGACCATCATCCAATTACCAGTTTACTTTGAAACCTTCCGTCGAACTAGTCTTGGCCTTCTCTTTCACGTATTCTAGCTGGAATTTACGAAATAATCTTGGAATTAGTGTAGATTCAAAATCAAAATCGCAGTCTCCCTTTCTCTCTACTGGTCTAATGCAGCTGCCTCTGGGTATGTTGTTCACATTTTCTTTGGTTGCTGTCTCACTAATTTTGAAGCTCCAAAACAAGCTAGATCAACCTTGATTGGGAATATTAGGGAGAAAGTCTCTCCTCTGTTTCCTTTTTTTTTGGATTACTTGTGTGACTCTAAGTTTGGGTGTCCAGCGCAGTCGTGGCTTTGTTGGGGCATTATTAGTTGATGAAGAGGGGTTCACAACACTGCGACTTTCTATGGGTGGAGAAAGAAGATGCTGATGCACTTGAGGTTTTTGAGCAGCTATGGTTGTGCATGGTTTTGCCACTTGATATGCCATCTTTGGTTTTAGATCCATAACATTGTTGTCAATAAGAAGCTCATTGAAATTAGAGGCTAAAGCCTCATCATCAGAGATAAGCTGGTCTGCCCATTCAGAAAAATCAAGAAAACCTGGATATGTAAACTAAGAACCATTATTTTTTTTTGTTGTAATGAGTCGATATTGTAGATTGAGGCAGTGCTGAATTTGACGATTATGGTAATGGCAACGTTGCAGCATTAGTTGGTGACACTTCACTATTGGAGGGCACACGAGTTGCATGGACCAGAGGCCTTGTCATCAGTTCCCTTTTTGCGAACACCGATTGAGTGTCAGGCAACTTTAGATATGTCTCTTCCAAATGTGTTGAAACGGCTGGTAAAGATGATGTCATTCCTCCAAACACCTCCAGGTTACCAGGTTACCAGGTTACCTTGCACCTGATCTCTGAATAGATAAAGAAGGTCGTGCCTCCATGCCAGTAAAAGTTCCCGAAGCACCCTTGTTACTGCACCAAATGCCAAAAAACTAGATAGAAACCTCATAGGATTCAAAACCCACCAAAAAGAATCAAATCCAAAATTTTCACTGCCACCCAGTTGGTTGACAGCCTCAACAAAGGCTTCATGAAGTTCTAGAATTATTGCTGGTTTGGTAGTACACTCGTTGGGTTTTTGTGGCAAAAGTGGTGGTGAAGGTAAAGATAGTTCATGGTTCTTGCCAGTTGGCTAATGGACCTTGGGGTGTGCTCAAGCAAAATTGGTAGCGGGATCAGGGGAATTTTTTTTTGTCAGTTTTTGATCTCTGGATCTTTCTTCCTGTTGCTGTTCCTTAGCTTCTTGTAATTTTTGTAAAAGAGTGATCAACAATATAAGAGAAAGAACCAAAAGATCAACTAAACACTATTCACGGTTACGTTCCAGTAATAAATCAGATGCAAAATTGTATTCAATATCCTCGTCAACAAGATAATCAAAGGACGAAGTAAATTACAGGTCTCTTTTGGACCCCAGGGCCAGTGATGAAGTAGTTTGAACACTGGCAAGAATTGAGTGGAAGAGGCCAGGAGTCTAACCATATACTGGCCAATAAGCAAGAGCTGATGCGCCAAGTTGGCAGACGACTTCAAAACCAAGGGCAAAATCAGGATAGGGAGAGGATAAATCAACTGCCCAAGCTGCAAGCTTTGGGCTTACTTCTCCATGTCATCGTAACAATGCATTCCAGTTTTTTTTCCCCTCTCCTATTCGGATTCCTCCTCTATATTTTCCACTGTTTTTTCCCCCCTTCAGCTTGTATATTCATTGTTGATATACAGACCCATGCTGATAGAGTTTAAATTCAATTCCAATTAGTCATCAAATGCTAAAGATTAGCATCTAGATAACAATCATCACAATCATCAAGCTTAATCTCAATCTTTCAGCTTTTTTCCTCTTTTTTTTAAAATTAATCAGATAATCAAAAGAAAGAAATAGAAAATAAATCATAAAATAAAAATAAAAATGATAAATGTGAAATAAAAAAATCTAAAATAAAAATAAATAAAAATCCCTACAATTGAGCTTGGATTAATCTCAATTAACAAAGAATTCCGGACAAAATGGGATGTCTACATCGTGCATGTGATGCAAATGATAATCTGTTAACGCATACATTTTACTTTTATTAGTTAGAAATTTTATTAATTTTTATTAATATTTATTATTATTTTATTTAAAAAAATAAAAAAGAGGAATTTTTATTATATTAAAGATTTTTTATAAATATTTCAATATACTGGTAATATTTTAAAAATCTTCTCATCTAGGAATTTCTTAAAGTATCTCTACTTGGAATACTTTTAAAATCTTATTATCGGATAAAATTACCTTTTTCCTTATTTTTTATTATTTATTCTTAATTTATTAATTAATTTATTATTTTATAACAACAAAAATTTATTGTATTGAAAACCTTTTATAAATACTCCAATACACTGGTAATATCTTAAAAAAATCTTCTCACCTAGAGATTTCGTAGGTATCACTACTCGGAGTACCTTTGAATCTTATCATCGGATAAAAAATTTCTTTTCTTATATATTTTTTATTAATTTTGTATTATTATTAGGTTTATTTTTAAAAACAACATAATTATAAAAATTTTTAACAATATTATAAAACAACGAAAATTTATTATAGCAATTTTAAACATTTTAACATACATAAATATTAATAATAAAATTTAAAATAACAAAAATAATATTTTTAAAAAAATCAAAAAATTCAAAAAAATAAATAATTTTTTTATCTGAACCGGACCGGTCAATGCCGGTCCGTCGGTCTGGTTATGTTTAGCTGTTTGGGATCGGTCCAGCTTGGATTCAGCAGTGCAGGTCCGGTTCGGGTCAGGTTCGTATTGGGTTTAGCGGTTCGATTCCGGTTCAGTTGGATCGGTCAGGCCTAGGGCTAAGGGGAGTCGGATCGATGGGTCGGTTTGCACAGATTTCGGGTCAGATTCGGGTCCACGCGTGAATCCTCTCATCTAACAAAACGACGTCGTTTCAGCCATTTCCTTAAACGACGTCGTTTTAAATCTCAGCCTTCTATAAAAGCTAAAATTTTTTTTCTTCTATCATTTTTCTTTTCCCTCTCTCTCTACACTCTCAAACCCCTTCTCTTTAGACTAGTCGACCGATCACTGTCCGTCACTTCGACCGCCGTCGGTGGTTGCCGACTGATTGTCAAAAATACCCAAAAAGCACCAAAACGTTCCCCTCAACCTCCTCTCGTCGGATCCGACCTCATTTTCATCGAAAACAACCTCGATCAACGTAGATCGGAGTTTAAAGTTTCGGTCTCCCCCTCTTTTTTTAACTAAAACTAACTATTTTACTTTTTTTCATAGGTTTTGCTTAGCGTTGGGTTCCTCACCGATTCGATGAGAATTGTGATTTTTGTTTGAATGGTTTTTCTTTGGTAGGAAGATTTTTTTTTTATTCTAGAAATTTTTTTTTTTTGCAGGATCCCTTCCCCTTCCTCTCTGTCTTTTTTAAGGTCGGGCCAGAGCTCTATGACACAAGGTTTGGCAGAAGGGGGGAGTGCCGTGTATGGCACCCTAGCACCAGCCTCTCTGCCCCCTCTTGTTTCTTCTGTTTTATCTGGCTTTGACCATGTGCCTGGGTAGGTAGCACAAGGCCTAGCAGGGGTGGTGCCAGTGGTGCATGCACGCACCAGGCACCCCCTGCTTTATTTTTTCTTTTTCTTGTATTTTTTGTTTGTCTTCTTTCTTTCTTTTTTGTTCTTTTTTTGTATTTTTTTATTATTATTGTATTTAATAATAATATTATCTTATTAGCAAATTTGATCAAGGGGCCAACAAATTTGACGTCTACGCTGATAAAACAAGATCTCAGGGAGCTAACAGCAAGGATTGCATCAGAATTTATGGTGCTTACTGAGAAATCTTACTAACAACCGAGCACAAACAAACTGAGCAGGGATTACAGCTCTTACGAAAAACAGTCTGTTGATCCCAAATTTTGGACTAGATGAATTGTGAAGAAGGAAAAAAAAAAAAAAAGAAGCTAATAAGGTTCCAGTAAAACTCTATATTGGAGGATAAATGAAACCTTAAATGCGTTTCTCAATGGAAGCTAAAAAGAACAAAATTAAGATTCATCATTCTTTTCTTCAGAGGCCTTTAAGTTGTCCAACGAGCCCTGTTAAGGTTGTCCATTTCTCAAATGCACTTGCCGACACCACAAATGCTACCTTGGATGATTCAACATCATTTTTGGTAACTGCAAAGTGCAATACAAAAAAGAGAAGGCCATAAGCACATAACCAGAACATGGGGCTCATACTCCTTCTGCCATTCACACAGATCAGTTTTAAATTGTTGTGTTGTTACACCAGATGATGGTTAGAAACTTCTGTTTTCTGTGATTCTATTACCTGGATTATGGCAACCATGCATTTACAGAAATGTGAGACAGATATCTAATATACACTTTGATTTCAGTGCTGGAATATCAAATTTTATTTGCAAGAGTGACCCACCTGATGAGATCAATGAAGCTAATGAAGAATTAAAGGTCTCCACCTGAGTCTTTTCTTCAGGACTAGAGCTCAGCTGTTAAGAAAGCAAAGAAAAACACTTAAGACATCCTTTAACATAAAGCCACTACATGAGAAATTAATGTCATATGCTCTTCAAGAAAACCTGCATTGTAGAAATCATATGCTAATGTGACAGCAAAATTACAATTCTTGAAAGCAAGATCCGAAATCCAAGATCTTAAAGTGTTTCTATAAGTTAGGCTTTCTCCAAGGGTATAGATTTCTCAAAAGTAAATATACAGACATTGTGTGAAGATATATTAGTGACCTTGCTGAAGGCTAGATTGGCATTCTTGACCCAATCTGTATCAGTGCTTCCCCCAAGAACTGTACTGGCTGCAGACAGATCATTGTTGTCTATGGCTTGACCTATTTTGCTTAACTTGTATACCAGATCCTGTAAATACCCTGCAACGTTTCATTTCATTGCATAATATTAGAGACAGCATAAAAAAAGTTATAAACTACATCTCCGCTATGAAAAGCCATCATTTATTCATTCTGCGCTGGTATGAAAAAGGAAGATTATGAAGATATGGTCATCTGGTTGTTCTGGATAGCTGTTTAAAGATACATGGCACGAGCCTATCACAAATTCGATTCCAGGCTAAGCCTACTTGTCAATAATGGGCAATTGGACCAGCTTCTCCACCAATCTGCTCAATCTAAAGCCACGATCTCAAAGATGGTCCATATCGTAAACTGCAACCCAAATACCCAATACAACACACAAGGTACATTTTCCCTGCTTATGTCAACTACCAAGGTTAAAGAAGGCATTTCATTTTTATACTTGAGGATTTCAGAATTTGAGCACTGGCCACTGAAACTAAGAGTCCAATATTCTACTAACAGTCATGCAGCTGTTGGTTAAAGAGGGCATGTTAGTAGCCTACCAAGAGTGAAGTTCTTGAACTCCCAACTGCTACCGCGAAATGGGAACAATCAATATCATACGTAGCTACTAATAAGCTTTAGAAATGAAAATTCTTGCAAATTTTCATGATACACAAGAACAGCATAATTTCCAATAGGATCACTATCTTGAAATGCTCAATCCAATTAAATTCTGAGCAAAGCTCGAAGAGGCACATTACCATCCAATCTTCAATTCTAATAAATTTATCATCAGAAGGAAGAATTCCATTGAGACACAAACAAGATTCTTTCAACTTCAATTAAACACAGAAAAAAGGAACTGACACAAATATAGGTCCATTCAAAATATGATGCACATTAATTCTATACTTCATGGAAATATATAATTAAAGCACAAACAAACCTTTCTCTCGGTCTGATGAACTGATTACTCCTTGTCTTTCAAGCCTTTTCTTTCTATCTCTCTTGACTTTCTCCAAAAGCTCTTCATCATCATCCGCCTCTAGAATTGCTGCATTGGCATTGGAGCAACCATTACCAGCAGCCAAGACTAAGCTGGAGATGAAGCAAAGGGAGAAGCCTCTTTTGTTTAAAGCTCGAGAGGGTGGTGGTGATTCATTGAATGCTTTGCAAAGGGTTGGTCTTCTTTTGACATTTTGATTGTTGAGGTAAACTGATGCTGGTGCTAATGATGATGAAGAAGAACAGGAAGACGATGTTGAAGAGGAGAGAGGTGAGGGAAGGAAGGAGTTAGCAGTTGAGAGAAATGCAGTTGCCATTTTTTTTTTCTTCTTATTTTGGTTACCTTTGCTTTAATTTTTCTTTGTTTTTCTGTTAAATTTGGTAGGAAAAATTAGAGGCATTGGCACTTTCAGAAGATAAGGTTGCTGGATTCTGTTATCTGGTCCAGTCATTTTTCAAATGCTTTAGGGGTTTTCTGTCATTTGATCACTAAATTGATAAAGGAACTAAATGAACGTTTATCATCAATAATTTGTCAAAAATAAAAAGTCATAATCTGAAAACTCCCCATGTCTATTTCATTACTTTAATGTTTGCACTGAAATTCAAAGACAACTCGCAGCAAAATCCCAGTTCAAACATGTTGAAGAGTTATCTGATACTCTTTGATTTGGAGAAAAGAGAATTCTAACTTTGCTAGTTGTCTAAATAGAAAAATCATACGCTAATCACTCAATCAAATACTCGAATTTTTTAAGTCGTGCTATTATATTCAATACAAGTAGCATTTTCTCCAAGTAAAAAAGAAAGGAAAATGAACTGAAAACATGGGCCACTAAAGAAATGTAGAAAGGAAATCCTGAAGCTATTTCTTAGTGAGGAGACTCACTGCTTTCCTTGCCTTAACCCACTCAACAAACGAGAGGAAAAGTAGATTCCCTCACGTGGAGCATTCCATTTGGTTTGACAAAAGCTAACAATTCTTCCATAATCGAATGATTTATCCCTTCAAAGCCAGCACTAAAGACTACACTTTTTATGCCACTATTTTCTTGTTGTCTGACATACAAAACTTAATCATCTCTGTCAACACCCAGCAGACATATATTTACTGACCTTGTCTCTTGAGTTATCACCATTTGCTTCCTTTAATCAGAACACCGCTTAGCATTTTATCACTAACAAGTGAAGTAAGTAAAAGCAAAATAATTCAAAGAAAAGTATAGTCATAGCCAACTGTCTTGTTTCTTGTTTGCTAAGGTAACGATGGAAAGTGGACAAAGGTTGTATAACTTTCACATTTCTTTCTCAAAATGTAAGCATTAAACATCAAGTTTATATTTAATATATTAAAGTATAAAGATATCATATACGATTGTTGAATCATGCGATAATAATTCATAAAAAATTAATTTTAAATTTTTAAAATTCTAAAAAAGTAAACACATTTAATCTTAATAATATATTTAAAATTAATTTTTTTATAATGTGATATTGCTTATTCACTAATAATACATCAAATATAAATTTTTAAAAATTTATTAATGCTTTGTTCGCTCTCTTTTGTATAAAGTAGTAGATTAAGTGGATTCTTAATATCTGTAGGTGAAATTTATTGACTGTATAGTTATTTAAATCGAAAATTTATATTAAAAAGTGATTTTAAGTAAGTGAAAGATGGTTTATTTATGAACAAAATGTTGCCAAGTTTATTGTAAAGCGGGGATCTCCAAGCTGCAGCCCAACCGGGCAAACTAGGTGTAATACTTGTCAGCAACTGCAAGCATACCCCACTGTCAGAGTGTCGGTCAAGTTCAACATCAGCACGCTAAGAAATGGCTTCGTGTCATTCCTTTTTCTTTCTTCTTTTTTTTTTTTTTTTTGTAATTTTTGTTTTCTTCGTGTTATTATAATTAATACTTGCTAACGCGTCAAATAATTGCAAAGATTCAGAATCGAAAAGCAAAATGTTTAGTGCTTTGTATTTCGACTTTACTACATGAACCTTCTTTTGTCTTCCAATCACTCACTTTCGATGCATAGGGAGGGACCCCAAATTGATAAGTGATCTTCATTCAACACTAAAAAAACTATAAATGAAATAATTAATTTCATTATATTTGAAAATTTTGTGTACTAAGAGAAAAAAAATTAAAATTAAAATATTAATAATCCAACATTTTAGCATTGATTCAATGACAATTTGCAAAAAGTTGACGCCACTTTTTTAGAAAAGAAAAAGGGAATTCCCATTGTACAAGCCACTCCCATTTCTTCTCAATTCCCACGTGTGTATGCCGAGACAACAGCCAAAGAAAGTTGTCCACGCGCTTGAAAACAAAGAAACGATTCTTCCACGGTCTCCGATCATGGCTTTGACAAGGATTTCCCTTGTCATCAAAACCTCAAAATCTCTTTCTGAGTCTTTGTGGCAATTCAAAATACATTCGAATTATAGTGCTTGGATTAATATTTTTGGATTGGATTTTAAACTGAGAAGTAAAAAAGTTAAAAATATTTGAATTGAAGCATATATTTATATTTATTTATATATTTTTTAAATTTTTTAAAATAAAATAATTATTTTATATTTAATTTTATTTAAATATATTACAATAACATAAAACATAAAAAAATTAATGAATCAAATCATATAAATAAAACTTGGTTACAATCAATTTCAATGACAAATTAATTTGAATTTAGATTAAATTTTAAAAAATTATAATACTGTACATTATTTAAAAAATTAAATCAAATCTAATTTAATTCTTACTTTTTAACAAAAAAATTTCACGAAAGCTTGTAATAACTAAAATAAATACAATTCACTAATAGATTTGGCTTTCTAGTAAAGAAAACACATAATAGTTTCATTTTTTTACTTTTTGGTTTATACTCTCTACTAAAGCAATTTTTATAAAAAAATATATAATTAAAAAATAAAAATAAATATTTTAAGTATCAAAATTTAAATTTTATATTTATTAAATATTATTTTTTAAAATAATTATATAAGCTAATTAAATTAATCCAAAATTCACTGAAACATATCTTAATTGTTAGCAATTAGCAAGTTAAAAGAGATTTTTAATACAATAATCTCGGTTTTTCTTTTCTTTTCATGAAGGTTTCACTGAAAATATTTTAAACTTATCGATTATATTTCTTGGAACAAACCAAGATCAAAACATGTGCTTATATAAAACCAAAACAAAAAAAAAATTGGTATGAACTTTTTAAAATCTGAATCGTAAGAAGCAAAGTTAAAATTATTAATTTAGTAAAAAAATTTATGATATCACAGCAGAGAAAGATACGTATTAATAACCAAAAAAGCTTTTTAATTCTTGCCAGCGAGCGTGGCGGCAGGCTTAGAGCAAGCGAGTGGGTAAAAAATCGAAGTTCAACAATTCCAAATTGGCCACTAAGCATTGACCAACGACATCAAATTCAACACCAAAAACCCACATAATCTTTTTTTTTTTAATTTTTGTAATAAAAACATTGTAAGTTATTTAAAAGGAGCAGTAACGAAGCCAGTACTTCAACAATTCAGTTCAATCAAATGCCCAAGGCCGAAACCCCTTTCTCTCTCAGCAAAGTCCCAAAGAAAACGACCGCCATAAACCAAAACTTTTGTTCTCTGTCTTAAAATCACTCTACAATTTTTCATTCCCAGATTTTAGTTGAAGAAATGGCATGGAAACTGGAGAGAGTATGCTATAAAGAGAGAAAGTGAAGTATAAAGGGAGAATTTTTTTCCTGATATGGCATGCCAGAGTTAGGAGGAGCATTGCATTGAAGTAGTTTGTCCAAATTTCGATTTTGGTTTTGTGTTTTTGTCTTTCCCTTGGAAGGATCGTTTCCAAAAGTTGGATCACTTGATTCTTCTTTGAAGAAAAAAAAAAAAAAAGAAAGAAAGAAAAGGCAATGAAAAGTATTGGTGTTCATCTATTCTTCCTTGTATATCTTGCTGCAATGGGTACTTTCTCCTTTACTCTGGTTTTTTAAGGTTTATAATTCAATTTGTTTGTTGTTTTTTTTTTTTTTTTGTTAATTTTTTGATGTTGTCTGAAGTGGGTTGATCTCAGAATTTGTTGAATTTAATTGTTTGAATCAGTGTGTACAGCTTTTCCTGCTGAAGGTTTACCTTATCTTAAAATTGGGGTCTTGGTTTTTTAATGGCGAATTTTGTTGGGTTGTTCTTATATTTTGATAATTGTAAGCTGAGGTGAATGTTTCAACTCCTCTGAGAAAAAAAAAAAAAAAAGATGTTGTCAACTGAGAAACTGCTCTTTTGAATGAAAATTTATCTTATTTCTTATATAAAAAAATAAATTTACTGTTTCTTTTATATTATGATTATCTAAGTACTTTTTTTGCTTGTTCAGACTGCACTTATATTTCAATTGCTATATCTTTTAGTTGGATTTGGCATTTGAATCCTATTATTATCTTGTGAGGGTTGGTGGATTATATAGGAATCCAGTTTGGTGGATAATGTTTGATCCAAGTCTCATTAAAATATGAGAGTTTTCTTTAGTATAGCTTCATCCATAAGGATGGTTTTACTATGTGTATAACCTTTCTTTTATGTGTTAGTGTTCAGTTGTTAATGGCATTCATTCGCTTTCCATGCTGAAATTACTTTGCTTGTGTATAAACATTTATTGATCTGCTATTAGTTAAACAGTCTGCGTGTGTGTGTCTCTCTCTTCCTTGATAGCTTTCTTCTTTCCATCCTGTCTTTCTATCAGTTTGAGAACTTGCTTATGTATTCAGTGCAAATGGTGCTTCAGATAATTGTTTCCTACAATTTATGATGGGCATCTTAATTTCTAGAAATCTTACCAAAAAAAACCATAAACAATTCCATTTATTTCATTGATCATCAAACAATTTACTATATTATTGAAGAATTATAGGATGTGAGATGCATTTACCAAAAATCAGGGAAAATATCGGCTGTAGTTTTCTTTTCATACCAAAACATTGACCATAATGGTTATCTGAGTTTAGTAACTGTCTTTGAACAGTGAATATTATTCTTATTATCATTGTCTTCACGTTTATTACATGGTGCTTGGAAATAAATGACTTAAAAAACTATTTTTGTTTCTTTTCTCCAGCATCTGTGTCTGTGCAAGCTTTCACTGGAACATATGGTATTAATTATGGAAGAATTGCAGATAACATCCCTTCACCTGATGAAGTTGTAACACTTCTTAGGGCAGCAAAAATAAAGAATGTTCGAATTTATGATGCTAATCACAGTGTCCTCGAAGCATTTAGTGGGACAGGGCTGGAAATTGTGGTTGGACTCCCAAATGAAAATCTGAGAGATGTTAGTGCCAATGCAGATCATGCTATGAATTGGGTCGAGGACAATGTGCTGGCGTATCTTCCTAATACACATATTCGTGGGATCGCTATAGGGAACGAAGTCTTAGGAGGGAATGATGAATATTCGGGATTTCTTGTGGGTGCAGTTAAGAATGTTTACAATGCAGTAAATAAGCTTAAGTTAAGTGATGTAGTTCAGATTACCACGGCACATTCACAGGCTGTTTTTGTTAATTCCTTCCCTCCCTCATCATGTGTTTTCCGAGATAATGTTGTTCAGTACATGAAGCCACTCTTAGAGTTTTTCTCACAAATTGGCTCCCCCTTCTGTTTAAATGCTTACCCATTTCTAGCTTACATGTATAGTCAAGAGCATATTGATATTAATTATGCTCTCTTCCTACCAACAGAGGGAGTGAATGATCCGAAAACTAATTTGCATTACGATAACCTGCTTGATGCTCAGATTGATGCAGCCTATGCTGCATTAGAAGATGCTGGATTTGAAAAGATGGAAGTCATCGTCACAGAGACTGGGTGGGCTTCACTCGGAGATGAGAATGAATCTGCAGCAACAACAAATAATGCAAGGACATATAATTACAACTTGCGAAAAAGGCTGGCAAAGATGAAAGGAACTCCACTCAGGCCAAAAATTGTGGTTAAGGCATATATTTTTGCAATCTTTAATGAAAATATGAAGCCTGGAGCAACTTCTGAGAGGAATTTTGGACTGTTTAAACCTGATGGGAGCATCTCGTATGATATTGGGTTTCAAGGACTTCAATCTTCATCTGCAGATTCATCACTGTTTTCTTCAAAGGTATGAGGTTTCCTCCCACCCTTGACATATGTCATCTTAGATATTTAACATTTTACAGATTGGATTTGAGTATTCTCAGACAGAAGAAGCATCTTCTTAGAACATTAGAAATTTGTCACATTCTTGCTGTGCTAATTATTTTATGTTCTCTGCCTTGGTTTCCACGTGAATAAATTACATTGGAGTGAAATTGGGTGGATGGATAGATAGATAGATAGATAGATAGATAGATAGATAGATAGCAGTGGTACCTGGACAATTTTGTTTTTACAATTTAGACGTGGTGAAAGCATTAGGAATAATGTCTATTAATTGAAGAGAAAGACAGACCTTAATAACAATTTCTTCTTGTTAATGGAAGAGGCTATGTGATGCTGCTGACCCAACCACTTTATGAGTCTGATTTATCTTCTCCTTAACTATCTGCTTAGTAGTTTGTCACCTTTGCATTTCTTATGAAGCAACAGAGACCCTATTTGCTAGCCTGCACTACATAACTTGCCCCAAACATGAATACACTCCTTCTAACATCTCTATACCTTCTTGATTGCATTGAATAGCTTCATAATGCCTTTCTTGCACCACTTTTATGCTTCTCATCATGTTCTTAAAAATTGGTTGGTATATAGTTTTTTTTTTTTTTTTTAAATGTAAATGCCTTATTTATGTCTGAACACACCTAAGATCCAATTATTTCTTAGTTTAAATGATTGATTTCTATTTTTGAACTCCTTTCCATGAAATATTCTTTGACTTCCTAATGAAGCTTGAAGAGAAAGAACACGATGAGGATAGAGAGGAGAGAAAAGAGAGAAAGTAAAGACAGATAGATGAACAAGAATGAGCGTAGAGAGAATTTCTGATTTCAAATTCCAATAATCAAGTCTTAAAGTCCAAAAATCATAATCCAAAAATCATAATAACAAGTTTTTATAGGAGAGGAAAGGCTTAAACCTCAAAAGGCAATGGTGCAAGTCATAAACAAATAAAGTAACAGATTAACAAAATCCTAATTTCTATGCCTAAAATTCTTAGGTAGTGATCCTCCTGTATTACTTCCTCACAACATCCTGTGTGAAAGGAAGTTTCTTGTTCAGCTCAGCTATCAAATAGCCTTTTGCAGTCAATTTACTTTGTCAAGTGTGTACTGCGTATCCCTTTTTACAATGCACAAGGACTTTTATCAAGTACAACTGAAAAATCATACCATTGCTTTTATGCTACATGGAAAGCACTTCCTTCAATAAGAAGCATTTTGTTTAGATACCATATGTTCTACAAAATCTTCAACTTACTGGTACTTTATTCATGCTAGTTACCTTGTGGGATTGATTTCTTGATAGCATGAACAAAAATCCCCCATTGGTGAGTAAATTAAATGATTGGAAACAACTAAAGGGGTGAAGCATATTTGAGTTTGGTTGCACAAGAGGATTGGGACCAATAGATAGCTTATTCTCCCAGTACAGTTGGAAGGATGAAAAGCGAATCAGCCTATCGGAATCCTTTTGATTTAGAATTGACCTTACTAATTGCCAAATCATGTCCCTTCCCACCTCACATCTTCGCAAATGCAGCAAGTTCAATAATAATTCCAATTAAAAATGAAAGGAAAAATAAGATAAAAAAGTATTAAAACTATGAAGATAAAATTTCTTCATTGATTGCCAATAGTTTTTCGTTCCAGACCCTAGATATACCATTTGATTAATAGACAAAAAAGGGTAGTCTATGGTGGCTTTATTTCGTACATTGTTTAGTTTGTAAGAAGATCTCCCTTCAATTATTATGCATATATCCGTTTTCTTTGTGAATGAATGGAATAAGCAATGTTGCTTCTGCTTAAAACTTGAGAAAATTTAGCCTTGAACATAAAATATATGTGCTTTAGTGATTCACTTGTTTGGAATAACTTGCTCTTTCAACATCACAGGAAAAGTAAAAGATTGTATTTTTATATGCACTTTTTTGCAGGATATTCAAGCTCGCGGTTGGTCTAGCTCCTATGCCATAATATTAACATTCTCTACTGCATTACTGCTTGTGTTTCCAAGATAGTGGTTGAACACGTGTTGGAGCTCATTCTGTTCTGCAATTTGATGCCAAGCCAGCACCCAGAAATTCGATACCTACAGGTTTATTACTTATTTTTATGTCATAGGTTTATTACTTATTTTTATGTCATACTTCAGAGAATTAAAAACAAATACACCTGATTTTTGTACCATTGGAAACACATGCTGGAAATTGCTGATTATTTCTTCACAGATCTCAGAAAATGCATATTTCTTGCGCCGCAACAAATCTCTCTTACAGTTGTAGTTGGTGTATATACATATTGGGGGTTTTAAGCTTCTTTTCAATCTTTGTCCTTATTGCTTATGCATCAAACTTAAGGAAACTAGAGATAATTTAAAGAGCTATTTTCATGGTTATTTAAAGTGTAAAAATATTAAAATTCAATCAAAATATAGGTGGAAATCAACAAAAAGGGAAGTATGTATAGCAGCAATGGAAAATCCTTGGGCCTCGGTTTTAGAAAATAATATTGGAAATTAAATTGCTAGAAAATAATATTACAACATTATATATATATGAGAAAGTGTTCGTAGGGGGGTGTTTTGCTTTCTCATTAGAGGATAAAGTAACTTTTTCCCTCTCCTTGATATCACATTTGGTCCGCCGGAATTAAATAAAAGAGGAATGGAATTAATATTCTAAAAAATTAGAAAGTAGGAGGAACATAACAATTCCTGATGGACAAAAATATTATTCTCAATTCCTTATGGACAAAGAAATACAATTCTTAAGAGAGAATAAGAATTACTATTTTTTTTTAAATTAATATTTCATGAAACAACTATTTTTTACTAATAAAAAGAACCAACCAATAAAAGAAAATGGTTATAAGAAAAATAGGGTAAATGAAATTATAATTCCCTCCAACCAAACATGCTATAAAAGAATTACATTAGCATATTTTGTGAGAATGTGATACTCATAAAAAAGTTGCATTCCTTAAAATATAGCATACCAAACATAGGAATTTATTAGGAATTTATTTCTCACCGATTAAAATCCTAGAAATGTGAGTACAGTCACCGTACTAAACACTCCTCAGTTAGTTAGTGGCAAAAAAAAAAAAAAACCTTTACTTAAACTTATATCAATCTTTTTTTTTTTTTTTTAATCAGAAACAATATAAAAAGCAACTGACCTTGAAAATAAATTTTCACTAACATTATAGTAATTACTAATTATTTTGCACTAAATCCAATTCAAAAGATTGTAAAGATTAAAAATCAACAAAAACAATGGAAAAAGAGGTATGCCAATATCTAACCTATTGAATTTCTATGTAGCAAATAAAAAAGGTTAATGACCTAATGGATTGTGACTTATAACACCAATGGAGACCACTCTTTTGGTTCATTGGCTTTATTTATATACTTTATTACCCTTGCTAATCTTTTTCCTTTTATTTGACCTTGAAAATTTATCCTCACCAACTTTTTTTTATCTTTAAAAATGTATAATTCATTAGATTTACTTAGGGTGATCAAATTTATGATATTTGTGATAGTGAGACCAAATTATAATATTATATAATAATAAATATTAAGCAAGGTGTCATGTCACACATCTATTGCATGTATTTTTTTTTTATATAAATACCTGATCAAGATTTAGTATATATACTCTAAATTTGTGCTGACTAGTTGGAGTTGTTAAGAGAACATAAGCCTTTTCACACGACAAAAATCATATTAAAAGTACATTTTGAAGAGTTTCAGTTAATTAAAACTTTGATTATTTATTGAAGAGAAAGAGTCAGAAATCATCGCCAAATGTTAGAATATATGAAGGTGAACACTTAGGCAGGGTGATTTGGATTCTATCGCATTCCTGTGGGATGAAATCCAATTCTTTTTGGGGCAACTTTTTCGTGAATTATATTTGGATACTATCTCATTATGCAGTTAGTTCCACCACCGATTGAAGCAGTAAAGGTCTAGTGATTCATTAAATTATAGAACAGTCGATTGCGTTGCATATGACAGGCGATTGTTTTAGCGTGAAAATAAAAATTAAGAGTTTTTATTAATTACGACAATCACGGAACATGTGATTGTCATACTTAATCTCGTCGTTATTATTATATTTACATTTAAACACATATTTTATCATTAATTTTAATAATTTTATCATCATATTTAATTTTCCTTTCATTATTATTTTCAATGTTATTAGAAGTTTGGAACCTCTTTCGCTACCTATTTTACTCAATCCCATCATTGATTAAATATTGAAGAAAAAGAAATTGCTAGGGACGAAAAAATCAAAATAGACTGCAAGGAATTAGGAAATAAATCATATATTTAATTAATTAATATTATATTGTGAAAGCTGAAACATTTGGTTTCCAGATGTTTCATTTGCAATTGTATCGAACATTGTTTATGCCTTGCCTGCCAACTCGAGAACAAAAAATAAATAGTTTTCGTGGGATGATTTGGTGCTCCTTTTCTTTAAAATATATTATTTATGAATTCCAAGCCTTTATATTTGCTTCCAATTGTCTCCCCAAATAATTTTTTTTTTTCCAAAGAGTAATAATAAAGCTAAATAATCTATACTATAAATAAGAATACATATGAATGACCGATGAGACATTGTCACAATGTTAAAGACATCTCATTTTTTTTTTAAATATAAATTCAAATTCCATCGTATATAAGCCTGACCCAGTTCTATGTTAGATTTTATTCGTTTATAAACAAGCTTTCATTTTCTTTTAGATAAGTTCAAATTTAAATACTATTAAAGAAGAAAATAAATAATAGCATGATATGTGGGTTGAATGTTGCATGATGTCAGGGTGACCGCTCAACAGCCCTAAATAAAATTTGGACCGTGGATGAAATGGAACCTCCATCTTCGGCTCAAAAGATCAATTTGAAGCTTAGACAATTGACAATGGTGGCCACAGCAAAACAAAAGCAATATATCAAAGGAATAATATATATAATAATAATTTTTGAGTGATAAGAGAATTTTAAATTTCATTTAATATATATATATATTTTTTTAAGACAATTTAAATATATTTATTTACGTTGAATTTAATTAATACATAAAAAAATTATTTTCTCCCAATTAAAAAAAAACAAATTCTCTTACTACTTGAGCTAACATCCTATGATGACATACTATTCGTTATATATAATTAACTATTTATTCATTTATTCATTCATTATGTTGAGTAAGAAAAAATATAAGATCAGACATTAATAAGATACGAATTAATGAGAATATATTAAATAAACGACATCTTAGTTTACAAATTTTTTAGTTATTGAGAGTTTTTCTTTCTTTTTTATTTTAAGGAAAAAAAATTCAAACTTGTTTCTTGAGAAGAAAATATGGGCTTTCATTGAATTATTTTTCTCTTTAAAAATTTCATAACCGATGAAAAAGATTAAGATTTAAAAAGTGTCCAGTATTGTATAATTGGTAGGAGTATTTTATAATGGACGGTTTTGCTTGCTAATGTTGCATGCTGGTCCACAAAATGTTAAAAGCAAGGGGGTTGGAAGATTTTTAAAGTTGAAAATAATTGCTTTAAAAAAAAATAAGGTTAAAGGGCAAAAAAAATCCTTAAATAAAAATTTAATAATTATTAAAAAAATTTTATTAATTAAGTTTTTATTAAATGAAAATTGGTCAACCATTAACATTTATTTTGTTTAATTGAAAGTTTAATTGGGTTGAAAATAAATATTTAAAAATATAATTAAATGAAAAAAAATGTTTAAAGATTTATGTAATCTGAATATAAGTAAAAGTTGGACAAACTAATGAAATTCAAGAGAGGCAATTGGAAGTAAAAGCTTTAAAGCAGAGGACACCTGGCAAATTTATACTTAAAATTGATCTCTAAAGCATAAATGTCCTAGAGGCCCCCATTCACACTTACATAATGGAGCTCAATCCATGCTATGATTTCTGTTTCTTCAAGGAATATTAGAGCTCCAAGTCCAACCAATCCATGGAGCCAAGCATTTGCTGGAGTTTAAAAATTTCTCCAAAAGATTTTGGTGATGGTTTATAAAGGTTGAAGGTAATTGATGCATATTAATTTCTTTCTCAACCAAATAAAAAAATGTTAGTATGTGTCAAAACCATTTCATAAAGTAAGACTCAGGTTTCAGAGAAATGGGAGTTCAATCCATTGAAAGGCTTGGTTTTGGCCATTGGAAAATGATCTTTTTCCTTCTTTAACCGATGCCGCAGTGCTATAAAGCAAATTTATAGGAACAAAAAAAAAAAAAAATCCCCAGCTGGTTTCATCCAATCGTTTCCCGTGTTGAAACTTTCAGACATTGGAAGGACGGTGTAGCGATTTTGGCAAGCCTTAGCTTTCTTTTTTTTGTTTGTTTGTTTTTAAAATGTACTGGTCAAGACTGTGAATATGGACCCCTTCGTTGGATTGACTCGGTTTGCCGATGTGGATAGCATTCAACAACTACCCCCTAAATAGTAAATCAATGAAAAACTATGTGATTCTTCATACATGGCTTGTGATTAATTGACCCAAAAGTTTCTTCAACAACTTCCAATTAAGAAAGTTGTCACTCTCCACCACTCAATATATAATACTCTCTAGGGGAAGAGAAACGATAAACCAACACACATTCTTGCAGTAGAAAGAGAGAGAGGGACAGAGATCTAGGGACGACTGTTAGCAGAGAACACAGCAAATATACAGAGAGAAAAATGGTTAGGAAAATCAGCATGGCAGCACTTTTTGTAGTTTTGGCTGCAACCTTGTTGCAGAGCACTTTAGCTACAAATTACACAGTAGGAGACTCCACTGGTTGGCAAAGGCCTACCAATAATGCCGATTTCTATGGTAACTGGACTAAAAATAAAAACTTCGTGGTTGGGGATATTCTTGGTGAGTTTCTTAGCACCAAATCCGACTTAATTATGATATTGTTCTATTCTTTTGTTTACTTTGGAGAATTATGCGCCTGGAGTGGACAGAATCAGTTCCAGGATTTGTATATACATAATATATCAGTTTTTGTGACGAAGACTGTCCAACTTTTTGCAGTTTTCGACTTTCCTACCGGACAGCACGATGTTGCCGTGGTGACAGAAGCTTCTTACAACTCCTGCACCGCTACTAACGCCATCTTCAATTATACCAACGGACCGGCAATAATTACCCTTAACACGACTGGTTACCACTACTACATTTGCGGCTTCTCCGGTCACTGTGCCGCTGGCCAAAAGCTTAGGGTCGATGTCCAAAATGGCACCAATACTCCTTCTACACCTGGATCAAGCCCCAACACCCCCAGCGGCGGTTCAACCCCTCCTAACTCAGCTTCATCCCTTATTGCCACCCTTCCCCTTATCTTCATGTCCATTTTCTTGGTTTTGTTCTGCTATTAATTATGTTAACACTTTGCCTGTTTTTGTGAGATATTATGTGATCAGTTTATACCTAGACAGGCAGAGAGACTTCATTCGTTTTATAGTGTATACCTAGTGTGTTCAAATCGGTCGGTATAGCCTCTTTTTACTTGCGGAATTTCACTGTCAGTATTTATTAGCATCATTATATGGAAGTTTTTTCATAATATATTATGATATTGATCATGGAGTGATCTTTTGTGTTTAAATAAAAACTTGATTCATTTTCTGGATACATAGATGTAATTGATCTGAGCCTTGCTGTGAATTATAAAGCTACTGTCACACTTGGATATCACTTTGTTTTTACTTTATTTTTGCAAATAAACACTACGGTTTTTTTCTTTGTTTCAACAAAGATTAAAAAAAAGGCAATGACAGGATGGTGCTTCTTTGTCCTCCTTCCTTCTTCCCTTTCTGGAGTGACCAGTGATCAGTGACATACCCGGCTGCCGGTTATGTATGTTCGGTGAAGTAACTTGTTCCTTGTTAAATTATTCTACTATAAAACCGAGGTTACATGTGGAAAAACATGTAATTTAACCTAATTCAAAAGTTCTAGAGAGATTACGAAGTCCACTTTCGGCAGGCCAGGTTCATTGACTTATGGTAACACTGGTATAGGCTTCATCTGGGGAGAAAAACTCAAAACTAAAGTTGCTTTGCTCATTTTGTTGTTCTTAATTTATGCCACGTCCGAAATCCAACCAAATGAGAGACTAAGAGGATGAGCTAGATCCTGAAAGAGAAAAATTAGGTGAAGCTAGCTTAAAGTGAGTTTGAGCAAAAACCCTGGAAAGTTTACTCAAAACATACTGTGCAAAATTAAAGTAGAGAAAGGGCAAGCAACAGACTAATTATAGTATTTTAGTAGAAGATTATGCAAAGTCTTTTTGATCATGTACTTAGGCTCTGTTGGTTCTTAAATCTAGCAGATTGCTTATGCACAAAGTTTCTTTGTCAAAATTCAAAGGTATTATTAGGTGTTCAAATTATGCAATTAATTCATGTATCAAATAAAATTTAAGATTTAATTCTTACAATATAATTCATATAAATCGAATTTTTTACTATACATATATATTAATATCAGTTAAATTATTAACATTGTCAAATCCAAATTGTTAATATTGTTGACGTAATCCTTGATTTTGTTTATGTGTTATTGATCATATTAACTTGACATTTGCGAAAAATTTGATTATATTATATCTTTTATTTTACTTCAGAAAATATAAGGTAAGAAATAAAATATTATTTGAATATGTTTCAGAACAATGGTTGAAAAGAACTTTGTTTAACATTGTTCTTTGGATTTGATGAAGACAGGGGAGGTTTCCGGAGTGTGGCCAAAATATATGATGTTGGATTGGCAATCAAACAAACATGAAGATAGTGTTGGATTGGCAAGACAGCCTTGATTTCTAGCCTGACGTCAAGTTTTATTAATGCTGATCTTCGAATGCAGCCATGGCAAGTGAAGCCTGCGAGAAATTTCTTTTTAAAGGAGAAATTAATGCAAAAACCAAAGTACTTCAAATCTATGATGATGTCAACACTCAACAGAACGTCATTCTAGCTTTTTTTATTATTATTATTTTAAAAAATTTCTTGGGATGTCCGAAGGCCGGCTCTAACCCTTTTGATTTTGGTATTAAAGGTGGGTTTATACGAAAGAAAAAGGAACAATGGACTTGATTGAGTCGGACCTATGCAAATATATTAAGATCCAAGCCTGCAAAGAATTTCCCTTTTTTCAACTCCTTTGCCCAATGAAATTCTGCAGACAATTACCATTCAATCTGCCTCTGAATATGCGAAGCCAAGCCCGCAAAATTGTGTGCCACATATACTTGCTTGGAACACCATGAAGAAGAGAAGAATAAATGGTCCCTGCTCTAATCTTCTTGAATTAAAGTTACATTTACTGCTAGGCATAGATATGCCCCAACTCTGTTAACTGCTCAAGATATGGAATTTGACCAGAATAGCCATCCAACTACAACATAGTGTCGAGGCACATGAAATCTGGAGCTTTAACCAAATGAGCCTGTGCCAATCCACTTGAGGTTTTTCCTGTTTAATAGCATTCTAAACTTCAAAAGTGTTGAATATTCCATATTTTTTTGAAGCTGTCCAAACTACTTCGCCATTAAGAGTTACAAAATCAGTTGAACTCTGCATACCTTTGTGGGATGGTGATCAAATTCCGCACAAAATATCAAACTTTTTCATGAATGTTAAGCACTTGATTTTTAGCCAGTGACACGGCCGATTGACCTGTTTACTGCTTCTCGAACTCCTTACCTGCCCTGCAATCGCTTAAGAACTTGACATTTCCAATATCCAAGACTCTTCGACGTTGACCTACAAAAACTTCTAGTCCTAGAAACCTCAATTTTATATAAACTGCTTACTCTTTCAATGTTTAATACATTCGATAGGGAAGCAATAAAACTGTTACTGTTAAATTTTCTGCAAAGATAGGAGTTTTTCTTGAAAGTGTGGATTTGTGGAAATGAGTACAAACATATCTAACAGACATTGCTAACTTGAGGGTTGAAGGAACTTAAAGGGTTTCTCATGACATCATGGAAAACTAAGATGGTTACTCTTTTCTTTTTGCTGCAACAAATTCAAGATGATATTTATTTGATGAATTGTCAATGCTGATGCAACTATTACTTCTCTTCATATCTTTAATATGGGAACTATACCAACGGTATTGGTTGAATTTGTTAAAATCGAATACTCTGCTAATAAGATTTAGATTCGGTTTCTACTGTCAGCAATCCCTCTTTTTGGATAATCTGTAAATCTTATGTAACTCCTTTGTGACCTGTGCATTTCGTAACTCTAGAACGGGATAGCTACCCATCACTTGAACTTCTCTTTACCAAAAAAATATGGGGACTACATAAAAATAGCCCATCATTGCAGACAACTGGTCGAGCAAAACTGCAGCATATGTTAATTTTGAAGCAGAAAATAGATGTCCATAGTCCAAGGCTATGACTTTGTTGTGGTTGTTGTTATTGTCTTTGTCTTCCTCTTCTTAATTGTTCCAGATTTCATGCTGGAATATTTTCCATTAATACAACTTACAAAGCTCTGAAACACAAACTAGTTTAACCAAATGAAAGATCACCCTCGTACTAATTTCTCACTGAACTGGGTGTATAAGCCCATTTCGGTTATTCTTGTTTATAAGGGACAGTAGCATAGAGCAACTAGTCAGGGCAATCTTGATTCTCAAGGAACCAATATCAGATATCAAAAGAGGGGTCCACCTAGACAGCTAGATAGCAATTGCAACACCATTGAAAGTGTAAGGGAGAAAAAATCATGTCTCACTATTTATGGGAACAGCAAATTGAATCTTGTGCCTCGACAATTGTCTTTGAGACTGAAATTTTGACTTTTTGCTCCACTAAACCACGTCTGCCAAACCTCTTGACAATTAGCCGCCAACTTTCTAAACCACCAGTTTTCAACAATGAACTCTTGTAGAGTGCACAGTCATGCATGTTAAATGCATGTTAATCTATACGAATAAAATAGTTAAAAATAGAAGTAAAAGTGATGAAATAGAGAAGACAAAGGGTAGCTACTTAGAATGGCAATAATAGAATCATCATTTGACATGAGAAAGAACAAAGCATGTGAACTTCATGCTTCTAAACAATTGTATTTCTTATTTTCCAAATAAATCAACAATTGAAATGCATACGGGTTAATTGAATTGGTAAAATTCTAAAACTTTGGTTGTAGAGTCTACATTCGAATCTTATTATCAACAAATACAATTTGTAAATCTAATATAAATTTTCTTTAAAATCTAAGTATGCCCTTATCCTGAAATGGGAAATCCTTACATAGCCCTAAACTTTTATATACCATAAAAGCAATTATAATATTACTCGCCGGACGATGATTGTTGGTGTCATCAGAAAAGTTTAACAAAATTGCAGTTTCATCTTAGAAAAATAAAGAGTTAAATATAAAAAAAACTCACGAATTATGTATTTTTTATCAGTTTAATACTTAAAAAAATAAAATTATTAATTTAGCACTCGAATTTTAATGTTGTCATCACTTTAGTACTTTGGACTAACATTATTACTTGACTTGTTGATGTGCTATGAACATCTAATAAAATATTAACATGTGTAAAAAAAAATCTAATTAATGTCACATCACCAATTATCATATTAGTATTAAATAAAAAATTTTAAAATTTTTAAAAAAATTTTTAAAAATTTGAAATAATTTTAAAATTATAAAAATTAAAAAAGATATATGAAAACTTTAAAAAATTCAAAAAAATCTCAAAATTTTAATAAAAATCCAAAAAAACTCAAAAAAAAATCTTAAAATTCATTGAAAAAATAAAATTTTCTTAAAATTAAAAAAATCACAAAAAAACTTAAAATTTTGAGATTAAAAAAAATCTAATATTTTAAAAAAAATCTAAAAATTTATAAAAAAATTTTCTTTAAATTTTTTAAAAATTCTAAAAAATTTAAAAAATCTAAAATTTTGAAATATTCTAAAAAAGTTATTTAAAAAATTAAAATTAAAGTTTTAGAAAAAAAATCCAAAAAAATATAAAAAAGTCATAAAATATATAAAAAAAATAAAATTGTATGATTGAAAAATGAAAATCTTTCATAATTTTAAAAATATTTTTTACATTTTTTAAATTTTTAGAATTTGTCATAAAATTTTAAATGTTTATATTTTAAAGTTTTTGCGATTTTTTTTTAATTTGAAGAAAATTTTATTTTTATTAAAATTTTAATTTTTTTTCAATTTTTCAAAAACTTTTTGAATTTTTTGAGATTTTTATTAAAATTTTTATTTTTTTAATTTTAAAAAAATTATAAAAAATTATTGAATTTTTTTAATACTAACATAATAATTAATGATATAACACTAACTAAACTTTTTTAATATGTGCCGTTACCTTATTAAATGATATAACACATCAATAAATTGACTGACGACATTAGTTTTAGGTATCAAAATAATTGATAGAATAAAATTTAAAATATTGAACTGATAATTTTATTTTTTTAAATATTAAATTGATAAAAAATATATAATTTAGTGATATTTTTATATTTAACCCAAAAATAAATTTACTTAACATGTTAAGAAAGAAACATCGTCGAAGGTACAGAATTGGACTAATGTTAATGAACAAATTAAAACACTCAAATCTATCATAACTTAGGTTCGGGGCAATACCTCAAAACAATTGTTTTCCCCGTTTTTCCCGATGAATCCGTGAATAATTTAGACAAATATAAGTGAGAAAATGACAACTTTTGACTAATAACTCTCACGTCTTACAAACTACTCCAATATATTGAATATGGGCCAAACGAATGCACTCTATGAATGGTGAAAGGCAGAAATTGTCAAAACTAAGAATTAAATAGTAATATCATCTTCTAGAAATGGAAATGGAAAATTCGGAGAAAAAAATTTTATGAAATTTTGCAACTTTTGACATTTGCCGGTTTGGACTTGTGTTTCTATACCTGTCTTTCACGCAAGTTGCTTACTCTTTAGACATAATCGTGTTTTTCATTTGGTTCTAGAAATCCAATTCTGCTGACCAAAGAAAACTTTTTTTTTTTTTGGTTTTAAAAAATACAAATTAATGAAGAATAGAAGAAAAAAAGAGATAGAGATCAATTTTTCAACAAATCACCAATCACATACTATTTTTTTTTTTTTTTTTGCGACTCGTATACGAAATTCGTTAAACCATTTCAGTGACCTCTATAAAAAGTCATGAAGGCATTAATGATCTCAAATTCTTAGAAGGCACAAACACGAAAGAAGAAAAAAAAAGGAGAAACTAACTCCTTGACAAAGATATGGCTAGAAGTGTCAGCTTAGCCCTTTTGGCTCTCGCTTTAGCTTCTGTTTTGCAAGCCACCGCTGCACAGACAACGCATATAGTTGGTGACGAGTTGGGTTGGCTGGTCCCTCCCGGCGGGCCCATTGCTTACTCCACTTGGGCTGCCATGCAAACTTTCTCTGTTGGGGATATCCTTAGTATGTAAACTAAGTCTCTCACACGTTTCTGTCATCTGTTTGAATAAAGAGAGTAATGATCAGAAATGAAAATTTGGAATCATAGTAACTAAAAAACATGGTGTTTTAATTTAACAGATTTCAAGTTTTTTCAACCTGATCCTTTTATTTTCGCTGAATTGTGCTTGTACTTTCAGTTTTCAACTTCACAACTGGAGAGCAGGATGTGGCCATGGTCACCAGGGAAGCCTATGGAACCTGCAATTCAACTAATCCCATTTTCCTTCAAACAACTGGTCCAGCGAACTTCACCTTGGACTCAGTTGGCGAGTATTATTTTATAGGTACCATGGACCAACACTGCCCCTTAGGCCAAAAGTTAGCCATCAACGTCTCTGCCCCTGGACCTAGGCCTAGCCCTATTCCTCCTCCTCCACGGGGACCAATTACCTATACCGTTGGTGATAGCTTGGGTTGGCTTGTCCCTCCCGCCGGTGCCATTGCATATGCCACTTGGGCTTTCAACAAGACTTTCCTTCTGGGAGACACTTTAGGTAACGAATTAAATGCATTAACTGAAACTCTATAACCATAGCAATTTCAAAACATTTATCTGAAAATTCCTATGCTTTCTTCAAAATTCAATGTTCTCGCCTTTTTTTTTTTTTTTTGCAGTATTCATTTTCATCAATGGAACCCAAGACGTGGCCATGGTAACAAAAGAAGCCTATGAAGCCTGTGATACTAATAACACCATCACTGTTTTGAACACTAGTCCTGCTAATATCACCCTCACCACCACCGGTGAACATTTCTTCACTAGCACTTTTGCACGCCACTGCGACTTGGGTCAGAAGCTAGCCATTAATGTTACAGCACGTAGCACCGCAAATCCACCATCTAGCTCTACAGAGCCATCATCCAGCGGCACAACTCCTGTTTCTGAAGGTCCCTCCGAAGCGCTGGCCCCGACTTCTCCAGTTAGCTCAGCCCCTTCTCATCTCATAGGCGGCTTCTTCATCACCCTCTTATCTATAGCCATAGCATTCATTTAACATACAGTAGCACGTACGTAAAAAACTTTCACTCGACATTTATTGTTTACGTCTCATCCCATGTAGGACTATGCGATGATTCCTTTGCATACTAAATAATCTGGGTTCATGATATTCAATTTATTTTGGTTTTTGCTCTGTTATTGGATTTTTTAACAGTGATGTAATAAAGCATTATATTTGTTGTATGGGTTTCACAATACCTTTCTCTAATTGAGCTTCACAAACCGGGCTCAATAACTAAAGGGCTAACTTAACAGGGAGAGGATCCTCTTTTAAAAATCAGTGGAGTTCTCCATTAATTTTATGAACACTAATCTATGGCTAATATTATTCCACATATCTTTTTTATTTTTGACCAAAACACTCAATTTTACTAAAACTTAACACCGTTTCCTATATTTTCACCCAGTTCGCTGCTTGTCTTTGCACGGGAGGTTGGTGAGTGTCGGAGAGTCATAAGGTTTTAAATAACGTCCGTTACGCGATATAACGGTAACAGCCGCTATTTAACGGTAACATTGTCTACCGTTTCCATTAGGGGTGTGATTGACAATCACACTTATAACGGCTGCTTGTAGTCAGTAAATAATGGCATAACTGAAAAAAATGATTGTAATGAAACGTTAAAGCCATTATTTACGTTTTCTTTCATCAAATAAAATAAAAACACATTCTAAAACGGTAAGAAAACCATGCCTCAAGTTTAAACTATTTAATCAAATTTAAGTCTCAATCAAAATAATCAAAACAAAAGCAATATAAATATAGAGCTTCAGTAAGGAACCAACTTTCAAACGATCAAACTCATTTTGCCGCCCTATAATATATATGCCTTTTCCATTTGGATTTTAATAGTGAACTGTGTGAAGAGAAGAGGAAGACATTGATGAAACAGTGTTAAGTTTTAGTAAAAGTCAGTGATTTAATAAAAATAAAAAGAATGATGTGGAGTAATATCAATAGTAGATTAACACTTATAAAATCAATGGAGATCTCCAATGATTTTTGACAGTGAAGAGGATCCGCTCCCTACTTAAGACCAAAATCTTTGCAAATAATGTTTTATCTTTCTTATTCTATTTAATATTATGTTGGTGTAATTTTTAATTTTACAAGTGGAATTAAAAAATTAATATATTTTTATTTTTTAAATATAATTTAAAAAAATTAATATATGTTATCTTACTAATTTTATTCGTGAAATTTTAAAACTTTTAATGATAATAAATGAAATAAATTTTTTTAATTTTTTTAATCGTCAATATAATTATGCAATGAAAAGATAAACATAATTTTTTGGTCTTTTAATCATGCCACTTTAGATGTTACATTCAATATCAAAACGTCATTTTTCTTCAAGATTAGGGTACAATCCAATACGTTAATATGATTTGGTTGGAGACTTCATTTAACCCAGAAAAAAAAAGTAGGAGGAATTAATGATGGTAGCATTGATTTTGAAACCCTAATCCATTTTATTGACATAGGTATGAAAATAATAGCAGTAATGTTATTTTCAAGTTAGTTACTCCAATTTGAATAGAATTTTTACTCCATCATATTACTTTAAACCCTTAGAATATTTGCAGCGTACTTACCTTTAAAATGACCTCTTGTTCACATATTTTAATATGTCCTTTAAAAGAATCCATGTTGAAGTTCTTCTTAACTATTTATCCTTACTACATAATTGGTCAACTGTCGATTTTTTCTATGTACTCGCTTTTAATTAAAAAGAAAAAAAGAAAAATTATAGTTTAAAATGTAAAGTATAATTCATTGGCCCTTAAGCCTTTCATAGACTTCAACAAATCAAACAAAGACTTGACGAGTGACCGTTAAAGAAAGTCTTCGGATTTGTTAAAGATTTCACGCGGTAAAAAGTCCCAAAACTCGGCAAATCTGCGCCAACTTCCAACCAAATTTTATGCGTTCATGATGTTGACCAATGTATACACATTTTCTCCGCGTAAAATCTAAAAAATTTTTAATAATCTTTTGATATATATTTATAATTAAATATTTTTAATAAAATTATTGATAAAAGTTTTATGATTGAATAAGTATTAATTAAATTTAAATTATAAATAATTTTTTTAATGATTTTTTTATATATTATTAATTTTATATTAAATTCTATGATAATTAAATTTTTTAATAAAATTTTTATTAAATTAATTTTTTATAAAAAAAGTTTACAAATTTCCTGTAAAAGATTTAATGCAAAATTTGTCCTCGAATCAATAGCATCCATCCATGACCGTCAAAGCGTTTTTATAAATATGAGAAACAAAAAATGAATGTGCCTCTCCCACTTTAGTTCTATCTTAGAAAGCTGAAAAGAGTCGAAAAACAGAGTAAGAGAGAAAGGGGCGACCTGAACCAAAAAGACGAAAACAAATTGGCAAGAAGATTGAACATAGTATTTCTTGCAACTATAGCCATGGCGGCTATTTTTCGGAGCTCATCTGCAAATACAGCTTATGTTGTTGGGGATGCTTTAGGTTGGGTCAGTCCTCCAGGCCCTGCAGTTTACACCACATGGGCAGCAAACAAGACCTTCAGAGTTGGAGACACTCTTGCTAAGTATCAGAAAGGGAAAAAAAATCTTCGGATAGTCGTTTCTTCTTTTAGGTTACTTTTTTTTTTTAACGAATCATAATGAGGGCTGAATATTTGACATGTTAATATGAAATTTTGTGCAGTTTTTAATTTTCCTAATGGAGCATACGACGTGGCTAGAGTCACAAGAGCGAATTTTAATGCTTGCTACACTGGTAGTCCCCTTCTTTTGCTTTCAAATAGTCCCGCAAATGTTACCTTCAACGAAACTGGGGATCATTATTTCCTCTGCGCCTTCACTGGCCACTGCTATGCTGGTCAAAAGTTGAAGATAAACGTTAGTGCTGCAGCTTCGTCTCCTGCTCCTCAGCCTTCAACCTCTGCCCCTCAACCTTCTTCTCCTTCTCCTCAACCCACTACTTCTCCACCAGCTTCTGCTCCTCAGCCTTCTGCCCTTGCCCCAGCTCCCCAAGCTAGCAGCCCCACAGCGACTCCACCATCCTCTCCCACACCCTCACCATCAACGGCAACACCACCATCCTCCAACACCACTCCGACACCTTCCACCATCCCTTCATCCCCATGATCTACCGACGGAGATAATAATGCCACCCCACCATCTGCTGGCAAGTTGGCAACATCTCTAGGTGTTGCTGGTTTCTCCGCTACTTTCCTGTGCTTTATTGTAGCTTTCTTCATGCAATTAAAATATAGTACTAGTAAACTAGATTTAACGTGAGGGAGATGGCATTGATTTTTCTGTGACGTCTTATTGCTATACAGTTTGAGATTTTGATTGCAATAAAGAGATTTTTTTGACATTTCTGTTATGATTTCTGAACATTTTGCCAATAATTAATGAAGGTTTTGAATATTTGAGATTGAAACGTGATTACAAAATTTTCAACTTCTATAAGCAGTAAGATACTCAGCTTTTTTTGTCTGGTCCTCATGCCCGGTATAAATGAGAAGAAAATTGAGAAATTTGGATTTGACACGATGCCGAAAGACTTCTCCAGCAGCATTTATAATTCAAGTGTAGAAAAAGAATGTCAGATTCTTTCCAACTTTTTTAAACGTATTTGGAAAGGTGATGGTTGGAAGATTTCTTTTTGCATATAGATTTTTTTTTTCTAAAACTAAAAATAAGAATATTTAAAAAAAAGAAAAAAGAAAAGAGAAGTAGATCAATGGGATCAAGATTAGGAGCTATTTTTGTTACCAGAAACTATTGTATTTTTGTTTTGAACTAATTTAGTATCTTTATTGGAACATGCACAGCTAATTATTCAAAGCCGAAAAAAGGAAACGTTAAACATGCATTGCTCCTCGAGGAGGAGAGAGTTTAATTTGCCATATCCTTTCTTATCTTTTAAAAACTTTATACACCTGAATATTTGATTTATCAATGATAAACGCAAGTATTTCCTTTTCAAAAGAGACAAATTCCAGTCCTATAGTATTGCAGGCATCATACTCTTCCTTTGAGACTCTTGTCGCCGTATGTGCCCCCTTCTGATTGAATACTATGAGATTATGAATTGCAATAAATTTTCAGAAAAAGAAAACGGCAAGAATTCAATGTTAAGTTGTGTGATCAATTATCCAAAAGTTAATTACGTAAATAAATATGTTCTGCCGATTTGAATTTAAAAGCTTTCATACTTATGTTAAGTAACTATTATCGCAAAAACTTAAGCTGATAATAAGGTTATCTATTATATCTAAGTTTTAACACAGAATTTACAGAAATTTTGAGGAATCCTTACCTATTGACTACTGAGTCTCCAGTTTGAAAAGTTTTGTTACTAACACAGTTAGCATAGAAGACGTTGGAGGGTAGGAAGAGCGCAGCCAAAGCTGTCTCCAACTTGATATTCTGCTGCATTTGCGATCTTTAGCGATGTGCCAATTCCACGGGAACAATGAATAACCCAACCAGGCTCAGACGGCTAGCCATTTTCTCTGTGATTCTGCTGCTTTCTTTCTCTCTTTTGCTGAAAACTGTCTGTGGAAATTGATTGAATGATCAAGAAAATATGATTATATTGCATGATGGTAGTTTTTATATTGAGAACAGAGCCGCATGACGAAGAGGAGTTCGATCCGATGACATGTTCAGCTGAGGAAGGGCAGGGGTTTTACGTTTTTTGCTTTGGTCAACCTTGATTGTAAAGTAGAATAAGTTCCTCGATCACACCATTTTGAATTAGTCTGACAAATTACAAGTTGAAATGATCAAACTAATCTCGGGTAATTGTTTTCGTTACGTAATTAAAATTTTCCTGATGAGCATATCATCACTTTGGTTTTTGAAACTTTTTAAGCAGAGATTTAAATTAATCAGTACAATCTCACTCAAAATTATAACTCGGTTTAAGCTGAACTAACCCTTATCAGACCAAGTGCTGGTCATTGCTTATTGCTTTAAAACCCCTATCTATACCAAGTTTTCTTGCAGCAATGAGAGATAAGCCCCCATTTCAGAAGATTAATGGAGTTTCATTGATTTTCTGAGAGAACTAGCCTAATTAATCTAGTTCAATGCCTGTAGCCACCTTTTTCCCTTATCTGCTTTACGCCTTTTTTGGTCCATGCTGCTCCAATTATTTACAAAAATCCATGAAAAATTAAGCATGTGCTTAATAGCCCAAAACCAAAAACCAGGAAAAGTAATCAACATTTGAAAACTCAATAGTTGGTCAAGGTCTATTTCACAGGATGAACATGGTTTTTTTCCCCACATTTCTTGTCCTATTTCCCTTCTCTATATATAAACAGGCAGTGCAAAATGATAAAAATCGACAAAATAGAACATGTGAAACAAACATAACAAAAGAAACTTAAACGCTGGACAAAGACAATTTTGAAAGTAGAAAGGTACTTTTCTATGATAAGTCTATGGCCTTGCTGCTGGACCAACAATTTTCCTTCACGTTTCTTCTGCTATTACTGTTTTCTAATGGACTTGTTTTGGTATATATATGCAAGATTTGTACACCGTAGTTATCAAATTATCCATTTCCATTTTCTTGCTAAATCAAGACATTTCTCCAAAGGCAAAAAAAGAAGAGGGTATCATCACTAGGGACGACCTGAGTAACACAAAAAAATGAATAATCACGGCGTTGGCTTGAGCTTGATTGGATTGCTGATGGTGGCAATGACAATTCTTGAGGGTGCAATTGCAGCTGACTATACAGTGGGTGACAATTATGGTTGGGATGTTCCCCCCAATAACTCCAGTGACTACTATCCTAGCTGGGCGAACAGATATGAATTTAAGGTTGGAGATACAGAAGGTAGGCCATATCCACTATATATGATTTCGTTTTCCAGCAAAAGCATGAAAGAAAAAGTCTAACCCTTATTCTTTGATCTCTTCTTTTGTGCCATTTTCTCATCTTCAGTATTCAACTGGACTGGGAATCACACAGCAGCTCAAGTAACAAATCAGGCTGATTTTGATAGCTGCAATAGAAGCGATGCAGAAATAAAGCTAGACGGAGAAGCAGGAGTAAGGGTGCCGTTCACAACAGAGGGCATCCATTACTTCATATGCACTGTTGGTACTCACTGTGAGCAAGGCCAGAAGGTGGCTTTCAATGTTACAGCTGATGTATCATCTGTTCCCAAACCACATCCCACCGTGTTCGCCTTAGCCACACTAATCTCTCTGCTTTGGCCATCCTTTTGCTGATTCATTGAAATGTCCTTGCAGCGTCCATTGCTGCAACCCACAGTTAAAGTAGAGCCAGGAGACAAATTATAATTGATTTATTTTACAAGGATTGGATTATAATAAAGCTGTTATCCTGTAAGTAACGGCCATGTTTTTAGCCTACTATGTCTCATATATGTTTTCATATCTAATGAAATAATGATCCGATTGGAAATTTCTCTACATGTACCAAAATCATGTCCCTCCCTTACCATAATTAATTAATTATGACCACGACCACAGTCAAATAAAACCTATCCAATTCCCACAACTTTATATAAGCTCTAATCTAAAACCAATTTGAACTGAAAAAAAAATATATATATATATATAACGAAGAAATTTGTGACCAAAAAATCATAGGTTCGAATTTTGAAAACAAGTTTTTGTAAAAATATAAAGAAAAGACTGCGTATTATGAATTTTCACCCCAACCCTTCAAAGCGAGAAGCCTTGTAAACTAGAGTTTACCCTTTTATAACGATGAAATTTGGTTAATGGATGCAAAATCTATGTGAATTTGTTTGTAATGTTTATAAACTTCATAGTTGATTTGTAAAATAATAATTAAATAATATTTAAATATATGACATACCAAAAATAAGCATTTATCACAAATTGTTCCTGTACATTTCGATTATTAGGAAATAATTTTTTTTTTAATTTATTGTTTGAGAAGATTGGACTAAATTCATGGACATAATAATTTTCATTGTAATTTAAGTGTTCAACTGGAGTGATACACATGATGTGGCTGAAGTTTCAAAGACTGATTATGAGAACTGCACCCCATACCAAACATTATCTTAGTGTTAGGTATAGGGTGATAAAAAATCATAGTGATCTACAAAAAGTAATTAGATCATTGTGTTTAGTAAACACTAGAGTGGTGTTTTATATCATTTTTAAAATTATCATGATAATTTAATCACCAAAATTAATCTTATTATTAAGGTGATCTTATTACTTATGATTTAAAATCACTTTGTTTGGTTAAAAATCATTAATTCTTAATAATTAAAATTTTCTATGTTTAGTATTATTAAAAATCAAATATCATTTTGTATGAAAATACCAAAACAGTCATGTACATTATAATAGCTATATAAGTTAATTATTTTAATGTTATTTAAAGATAATAACTTGTATATAAAATATTAATAGTATTATAATTAAATTATTAAATTAAAAATATATTTATTGATAGTATATTAGTTTCTATAGTATAAATTATATTAAAATATTTGAATTAGAAAATAAAACTAATTTATTAAAATCAAAATATTATATTTTAAATAAATTTTAAAAAATTAACAAAAGTCAAACAAAATATTCTTGAACTTGTTACAATTAATATTAGTTTAAAAATATAAAAATTATAATATAAAATAATTACAATTAATTTTAAAAAAAATAATAAATTTTTAATTCACATATTAAATAAGTAATATTAACTATTATTAATTTTACATATTACTTTATCTCAGTGATAAAAGTTTTCTACCCTTTTAGATGGAAATAATTAAATCATCTTCTAAAGCAATGATATAATGACTTTTAATGATCTAAGATCACTGTCACATAGGACTACTAAATGATTTGTAGACATCTTATTTTATCCGAAGTCCAAATTGATTGGGCTTGGATTCGCTCCAAATCCACTGATTGAATTTTATTTATTTATTTATTTTTGTTTATCATATTTATTTATTTATTCTTTATCTCTTTTTTATTTAATTATTTTATTTATTTGTTTTTATGGTATCTGTTATCTTTTCTATTGATTATCTTTAATTTTAATTTAATTTATCTTTCTTTTAAGTTATTTGGTTAGTTTTTTGTTTTTTTAAAGGAAAAAAGAGAAAATTGAAAAATAGATGAATGTTCGAAGATCAATAAGGGATGGCTGGTGATTGAGATTTTATCCTCAAGTAATAATTCATATTTTTAAACTTGTAATTTAATAAAAGATTTTTTAGGGGATAAAATTTCATTCTCTTTTGCTGATAAAATGAAACTTTTTAATTTTTGAAGAATTTAATCTTTATCATTACACTAATCAAGCCTGGTCAGTGTCCTACAAATGGACTTGGATCCAACATAGTAAATCACACAGCAAGTAGAGAGCAATCAGAGCTGTACGTAAAAAAAAATTTAAGAGAAGAAAAGCAAAAAAAAAAAATGTTTTTGGCAGAGTTTTCTGAAAAATTTTAAGATGTTATGAGTTTGATTCAGCCATTAGAAGATCCATGGGGCTTAGAAGACTTGAATCGGTAATTTTTACGTTTTTTTTTTTTGGAAATTACTATAAAATTTTTTGAAATATTTTAAATTTTTTAATTAAATTTTTCGATAAATCTTAAATTTTTCGATGAGATTCTAATATGATCCTTAATTTTTGACAAAGATTTCTGAATTCCAATCAAATTATGGCGATGAACGAATTTTTAGACAAAAATTTTCATAATGAAACCGACAATGTTCTTCCTCAGTTAGAGAGAAAAATAAAGAAAAACACAGTTGAGAGAAAAGGCAAAAGAATTTTGAAAAAAAAAAAAAAAAAACTTCAACCATATATACCAACAGCGAAATGACAACATTTTGAGTGTAAATAAACCACAAGATCCGCACATCGCCCCAAAAGCAAATTCGACCCCTACCGCTCAACCCGATTTGCAACCCGTTTAAGAAATCATCCCCAAGGCAAGCCAAGCCACTCTCCAAACTACTCTAACCAGTTTCCATTCCTGTAATCAAGCTATGAAACAAGTTGAGCTTGGTTGATCCCATTTTGGTAATTTTTTTAATTTTTAATGTAATTTTATTTATTTATTTAAATTTGCGTATTTTAATTGATTTTAATTGATAATTTTTTATTTTATTTGTGTTAATGGATATTTTATAAAAAAAAAAAAGAATTTTTCAAAATAAACTTATGATTCATACCAAGTTATTGAAGTATTTTCATGGGTTTAGAATTTTAAATTATGAATTTTACTAATTTATTGGAAATTTTCATAACAAAATTTTTTGAAAAATAAATTATTTTTTAATCTTACCAAATGATTTGAAAATTTAAATATCGAACTAAGTACTATCAAATTATTAGAGTACTTAATAAATTTTTTTTAAAAAAATATTTTTTCAATCCTATCAAATTATTGAAAGATTTAAATCTCGAGTTAAATCTTATTAAATTATTGAAAAATTTAATGACCCTTTTAAAATTTCACAAAAAAGTTTTCAAATAAAAAAATCTTATTAAACTATTTGGGATATGGACCGAAATAGAATCCTACTAAATTATTAGAGTATTTTATTTATTATTTCTAATGATTAATTTCTTGAAAAACATGTTAATGAATTCAAAAACAGAGTTTCTTTAAAGTGGGACATCATTTTAAATTGTTATCAAATTATTGGAGTAATCTTAAGATTAATTTTTAATAATGAAATTATTTGGTAAATTACAAAAATATTTTAAGGCTTGGATAATATGAAATTAAAATGATATCATCTTTTCGGTGGATATTGTGAGGGTGCTATTATCTTTTTCACATGTATTGTATTTATCGATCTAAATCTAGTTTCATGGACTAGAATCTATATTTTAAATATACTCGAGTCAAGCTTGAGACATATATTTAAAATGAGATAGATTCAATTAAGTGACAAATTACATCTAAACAAAAAGATTGATGATAACTCTTAAGTCTATATCTAATGATAGGTTTATAGATTTATACATGATAACATGGTTACTAAACATGGTGATCTAATCATTATGCATAGATCACCATAATTTTTTTAGTGATCACCCATACCAAACACTATCCAAGTGATCCTACGTAATGGTGATCTTAAGTCATTGAGAGTGATCAAATTACTATCTTTGAAGGTGATTTATTTTTCAACCAAAAGAATAGAAAATTTGTATCACCAAGATGAAGTGATATGTAAAGTTTAATGATAGTCAATATTACCAATCTAATATTTGAATTAAAAACTTACTTTCTTTTAAAATTATAACTATTTATATTATAAAAAAACTAATATTTATTATAATATGTTCAAAAATCATTTGTGTTTTTTTAATAGTTTATGAAAAATTATTTGATATACTAATAATAAAGTTTTTTAACTTCACAAGTACGGTTAAGATAATGATACATATTTTACTTTTTTTTAATTAATTTTTTTATTTTTTTTAAATATACACTAAGAAATATGTGTCACCATCTTAAGCTCGTTTGTGGAGTTAAAAAACTTCACTGTCAGTATATTTAATAATATCTCTTATTTTATATATAATATAATCTTTTTATTTTTTATTATTAATTTGATGGATAATTTTATTTTCTAATTCACATATTTTTTACATAATTTTATTATAAAATTAGTTTATCTATCAAGAAATATATTTATTAATTTAATAATTTTTTATTATATTTTATTACAAAATAAATAAAATATTACTAATATTTTACAAATTATTATCTTTTAATAATATTAAAATTATTAATTTATGTAACTATTATAATATAAATGATTATTTTCATAATTTTACATAAAATAATGATTGATCTTTAATAATACCAAAAAAAATCATCTTTAATTTCTAAGTATTAATAAGTTTTAATCAAACAAAATTATTTCAAATTAGGTGTGATATAAACATTTTAGTAATAAAATCACCTCGATGATTATATTATCATAATAATTTTGCAAAAAATACCAAGCCCAACTACAAAAAAAAGTGAGAAAAAATCAAGTAAACCGAAAATCGATTCGAAATTATAATATTTGATTTAATTTTTTTATTCGATTCAAATTAAATAAAAATATTAAATGTATATATTAGACTCGAATCAAAAAGCAAAAACAAAAAAAAATCTAAACCAAATTAAATTATATACTTTTATTAATTTTTATATATTTTTTAAATTTTTATAAATTAAAATAATTATTTTATACTTAAATATATTTAAATATATTAAAAATTTATTAAAATAATATATAAAAAAACAAAAACATTAAATTTTAAAAATTGATAAACCATATCAAAAAAATAAAATTTGATTCATACAAATACTTTATTCAAATTCAAATTAAATTTTAAAAATTCATGATTTTATATTTCATCTAAAAAATTAATTTAAATCTGATTTAATTCAAAGAGTTTTTGCCTTTAACCCCAAACACAAGCGGCACAAAACTTGCCTATCAATAGTATCGGTTGTGTCTAAAATATGGACCGTCCAGTTGGCAATTGGCATGACCTTTCCTTAACATGGACATGTTGCCTAACTACGAAAAGACAAATACAATTGCTACAAGGTTAGACATCTTCTTCGATATTACTGGTAGGATGTCTCCGCTGGAACCCACAATTTAGTTACATTTAGGCTGAGGAATGGTTTAGTTACATTTAGGCTGAGAGATGGCTGCTCGAAAAAATAAAAAAGTGGAAGACCTCTGGTTGGAAAACTCAACTTACTAAGCTGAGTTACTGTGCTGATGGTGATAACTGACAGAGTAACAACATAAGGAGAAGACAGTAAATTGAGATAAGAAAGAAACGAAAATTCTAAATATTCTCAAGAAATGGGAGATGAATCCATCAGCGGTCAACCATTATCTGTTTCAGACTAGGGAATGTGATGGCTTACCGACCACAAATTTAAAGCTTGGTGTGGAGTCACCCCACCACACTCCACATGGGAAAATTTACATTCTGCCCAGGTTTGAGAGGAATCTCCAAAAAAATTAAGTTCAAAAGGTCCAGAATTGGTGAAAAAATGGAAAAAGGCAACATAGCTGAGAAAATAAAGTAAACCGCCAATTATAGCTTCAGAGGTTCTATAAACGTGGATGAAGGGCGCGCTCAATATCAGTAAAACATTTGCCTTGTTCCAGAAATCAGAACCCAAAATGAAGTAATCCTCAAAGCAAGAATTCATCTTTGAGGCTTAACTGAAAACCACTGGCACCCATTTGCCTCACTCACTCCCCATCCGAAGGAAAATAATAAAGTCATTCTTGATGCAAGCCACTTCACCATCATAAATAGGTTCTTGAAATAGGTAAGCATAAACTCCACTCATCAATCACACAGCTAACACATAAAGGCTCATTCTATAAAACACCAACAAGTGCTCAACCAAAGAATCCTTCTAGCGTGCATCGGTGCCACCTGAAAACCTAATAAGTTAAAATGCTACCCAGGATTGTTCCCAAGAACCAAGTTATGCCCAAGTGCATCTAATCACTTAAGTGTATCACACGGCAAAGATGAGTATGAGACCCTTAGCTCCCATCCTGCCCCATATCCCCTGCACCTGCCATAATCACACTATTTCTTCGAACACTCAGATGCCTCTTGCCATCCTGATCCCCAAAACAAGTGATTTAGCAAACACTTATTTACACTACAGAAGTGATAAAATCTAACGGGTAATTCCTCACCTGGTAGTCATCACACGCAGCAAACTGTACTACAACAAAAAAATTGGGCTCAATCAACCCTAATGCCAAGAACTAAAAAGTACCCTCCAGTGGCTAACTCAAGAAACAGTCATATCAGCAAGAAATGTATGACTGTGCTACAAACATGCAAAAACCAATCCTTGCCCATTCACCTATGGCAACAGGGAACACGAATGGTGGATGTTGGACAAATCCTTCATAACCAGCCCACAATTTGGTTCACTTCCCCCTGTGTTAACTAAGGTCTATATGTTACTCCACTTTATAGTTTCAAATAGCTAATTAATTTGCCTACAGTACACATTTTTTTCCTCGTTCTTCTTGCTCTAGACCTTTGTACAAGTAGAAACCAACAAATCACTTAGAATGATCATGAGAAGGCAAATATTCCTTATGTGGCCCTCAACTGATCTAAAATTATTTATTGAAAGGTTTTAAGTAATTAGATGTGCAATGAGAATTAAATCATCAACTATTAGATATCAATCATGCTCAGATTTTATTTACAGTTCACTCTCTGCTGCATCCCAACAATGCAACTCAAGGTCCGCATTTATATTTTACAGATGTACTTAGAAATTAAAAATTGAAAAAGGGATTCACTAATAAGATCAAGAGGTCATTAATTTTGAAGGACAAAATACAACATTAAACCATTGTCTACAAACCTGGCCCATTTCTTCAATTATTAGATGAGGGCCCTGGTCGCCAGCAAAATTGTCCATCTTCCGAATTGCCTCCAAATATAGCCTTGCGCTTTCTCATTGTTGCCCCCGAATTGTGGCCTTCACTTTCTACAAACCACTTTCTTGAAAATGATTCAAAATGGTCATTAACAGTCCTCTCTGGAAAAAAATGTAACTCTTTACCATTTTGTTGAAAAACGTCATTAACTTTGCCCCCATTTTGAGAGCTGCTTGGACCAACATCTTCAGTTTGACAAATTGAATTATTTTCTACTTGCATACAAGGGTCACAAAATAGACCCAACCTCAAAGACAAATCACATTCTGTCCCAAATGACTTCTCATGGGTGTGCCTGATATCTAGCTGTCCAATTCTCTTCCCACCAACATCAACATCAGAAGATGAAAATAGATTCTGCAAGGAAACCATTTCAGCTGGCTCTCCGATCGGTGTACCAATAGGTCTCCCAATAATTATAGCCTCAGATGCTATATTTTCCTGAACTGGAGATCCTGTCTGGGACTCTGAATTTTGATAGTGAATTCCATAATAAAGGGGAAAAACTTGACCCAAGTTTGGCGGGGTGTTAGTTTCCATCCTCATCAATTGGTCATGGCCAGATGGACAATTTTCAGACAGAAAAGAATAACTTTGACGGTTAGTTTGTGAAACTGAAATGTTGGAATTCACATTGGTGGCTATTCTTGGAAATTGATTGCCAGACTGAACTGGCGATAACTGAGGACACCTTTCATCACTACCTTTATCCAAAATCCTAGGAGCTGCAGACACAGGTTCTTGTGCTCTTGGTGTAAGGTAAGTCCTAGGATTACAATGCCGTTGGCTCCTTGAAGCTCTCACTGGATAGCATCCCAGATTAAGGGCCGCTAAAACAACATATATGTACTACAATCTTTCAGTACAAATTGTTCTTGAAACTACTTCCAAATTGAAAACTTCATAAAGTTTAAGCTAATGTACATCCAAAATGAGAAAAACCGGTAACATAAAAATAAACTTGGATGCAAAAATATCTCAAAAATATATATATCAATATTACCTTCAACACAAGGTGGCAAAAGCTGTCCTGTTTCAGTGCTCTCATCTCTACGGATAATCGTGTTGATGGCATCATTAACACGGTCCCATAAGGTTTCCAGGTTCATATATTCAGCCTAAAAAAAATTAAAAAAAAATTAGTACAAAAAAGTAAATACAAAATAAAAGATCCACAAAATTGAAAGCGGAAAAGAACCTCAGAATTGGCTTTGGAATACATAATCTCCTCAGCTTTGACGATGACAATAAGTATTTTATCTTGCCATTCCTTGTTCTTTCTAGTAGCTGTGCTGTGAGTTTGGACAGCGAGCCTAAAATCAAACGCATGGCGGGCAAGGAATTAAACCCAAAAAACTAACAAGTGCTGTAAAAAATGTAACAAACTTGATGAAAGTAAAGAAGACCCAGAACTTTAAAATCTGCTGAATGATGGAACCTCTCATGGGTTGGTGTCTTTCGCTATGCCAAGCTCTTCTTACACACTCGTAAGGTCTAGGGCCTGGCCTTGGCATCTTTCTTCTTCAATGGAAACAAAAGTCTTGTATGGTAAAAATAAAGAGACAGAGAGGAAGGGGGGGGGGGAGGGGAGATACTTGTACTTTAACGAGAAGAAAGGTTAAAATAGTAGCAAGACAGTACTCTTTCCATGGGTAGATGGATTAGTCAATTTCTTTATGATGTCTTTTGCTCTTTCTTCTTTTTCAATTCCCAGTTTGCAATGGAAAAGAGAGATCAGAGACGGGGGGCTTGTCCTTTCTTTTTTCCTCTTTCTTTTGGCTGGGAAGCAGTACAACAGGAGAGAGAGAAAGGGCGCTTTCTCTTCTCAAGCCTTTGTTTTTGCCCCAATAATTTGACAGTTTACCACAGTTTTTGGGTCAATTTTTTTGGTGGGGAAAAGCAGAGAAAGAGACGAGGGCATTGGGTATCAAAATGAAAAAGTGCTGGATTTTCAAGTATTAAAAGAGGTCACCATTAAAATCTCCCTGGCCATGCCCATTGCCCCCCAGCTGCCTGAACAATTGGCCACATCAATTTTCCCCAGCATGGGCACTCTATAAAATTGACATCCTATCCTCCCCCTATCCTGTGTTGGTTCAATAATGGTACCAAGATACAGATTAAACAGTATGATCTTCCTTTGTAGCATCTTGAAAACTGTTGTTTTTTTTTATGCATCTCTTTTTTTTTTCCACTTTAACATCAAGGCTTTTGCATTTCACGGTATGAAAAATCAACCCTTTTGAAAAAGAAAGTACTAACAGTAATGACAACGCTTGTTTAAAAAAACTACATCTATCTACTTAGCAGAAATTATGATATGAACAAGGTTAAGAGTGGAACAAATGTAACAACAAATTAAATGATTCAAATCCAAATGTGAAGAAACATAAATAACTATATTAGATACATTTGGAAGCCCGTTGAAAAGGATTTTTAGCACACTGAAATTTCATTTACTCATTTTAGCCTTAATTATATACGAGTTTAATATCATTCTGATAATCTAATAAGATGAAAATTTTTTCTCACAGCTGATCCAAATGCAATCATGGCGTATAAAACAAACAAATTTTAAAAAGTAAACGTTTTACCAATGGCTTGCATTGAGGCTATTTCAAGCTAGTACTAAGTTTTTTTTATTTTGATTCTTTTTAATATTGATGAAAGGGTTAATCACATGTGTAAGTACTTCCACCAGTGAAAGCGAGTAGTTGAGTGCATACACTAAAGCAGAGAACCTTAGTGGTGATACAAAAGCGCCGTAAATTCTTCATTTATTTTTGAGAATGGCCTAACACAGCTTTTATCATGTCCTTGACAATGAATGGGTTATCCCCACTAAAATGGAGTATATGTCCACAGTTCTTAAAGATGGTTGTGCAAAAGTGATACATGCCACTTGACCCTTTCTGTACTTTTGGGACAAATCCATTTTTCGCTTCTTCATAATGAATAGTCACCAATAAGCCAAGTTCCACTTCATTAACCAAAAAAAAAAAAAAAAGCCCCTCAGCAGTTCCCCAGTGGGAGCCTGTGGCATATTTAGTGCTGCTGTTTTTTTTTTTTTTTGCTTTTTATGTATGGGAAATTGCTAATATTGCATAACTTTTGGCCTTTTCTCCCCTAATATTTATCATCAAAATAATTATTTTTTGGTACGAATCCTCAAGATAATTAAAAATAAGTTGTTTGTGTCCTCACTCTTCCCATGTAATAATTAAGCTGGGCCAAATTGGGTTTAAAAAAAATAAATAAAAGCTTTTAGACATTTAAGTGTAAGTCAGATCAAAATCGGGTCCATTTCATAATAATCTTGCAAACGATAAATCGACCGAAATGACAAATTTAAGTGTAAATTCGACCAGTTTCCTTTGTTCCCTTTTATGTATATATAGTATTTTTTTTTTTTTTTTTGAAATCTGAATGATGCAAAGCCAAAAGATGGTTGTACCAAAGGAAAACAGTGTTCACTCACATCACCATCAAATCAACTACAAACTTGGTGTTAGGCAATGGAAGATTCTCTTTGCCAAATCAGAGCTATCAAACTTCTAATGACTTGGACAAATCTCCCATGAATCCATGTTAATGTTACTTCACTCTTACACAACTCCAAAGGTACTTTTAATAACTTAAATTTGAGCTAGTATTTAATTATATTCATATTTTTAAAATAATTATTAATTATTAAATATTTAATTATCATGTTAGTTTACGTTAGAAACAAATGATCGTGTGATAAAAAGATAAATATTTAAATTTTAAAAATTAAATCAAAATTTTTTTAATTTAATTATTATTTTTAAAAATATTATTATGATTAAGTGATTAATAGTATAATTTATCATTTTTCAAATGATTTTAAAAACTTATTTTTTATATTTAATATTATATTTATTGAATGCTTCATATAAAATACGAATTTGAATAAATAAGAAAATTTTTTTCTATGTCAATTGGATTAATAATTGCGGATGGTTAGTATAATTTTTAAATGTATATCAAATATTATAGTGATATATATATTAAAATTCGAATTTAAATAATTATATTTTTTTAATTAAAGTTAATTATACTTTAGCGGCAAGTGATGACTCTTTATATTTATTTGAGGAGCTAAAAATTTATTTACGAATGTATATAAGAATCTTGTTATAAAAATTAAAGTCAAGTTAGGCAAGTAGCTAGTCTTCCATCACTATGACCTTTTATGTGCCTTCCGAATTTTATGTTGAAAAGCAAGCCACTAGTCACATTAAATCTGAACGATTTCTCTTTAAAAAAAAACTATTTAATACATAGTTGATAAATTTTTAAATTTTATTAATTTAAATAAAATTAATTAATAAATTAATATAATAAAACATTAACAATATTCACTTAGTATAAAATTTAAAAATCTCCACGGATATAATAATATTAACTAGATAGTGTCTCATACGTTGCTACATTTCAATAACAACAATAATTAAAAATACCAAACCATATTTGTGCATACTTGTTTTATTAACATATGAAATATTAAATTTTTTAAAACACAAATGTGAAGATTTATCGCCAAAAAAAAAAAAAAAAAAAACATTGGGTTGAGAATTTTACAGCACAAATCAATAAATTCATGATTAAATTCTTTCAATGCTCTTCAAATAGAGTTTTATTAAATTTTAACTAGGGACACTTTATTAAAAAAACACTGATATCATTTATTAAAATCTTAGTCATTATAATTTTTTATTTTTAGATTACGATAGTATAGTCAACGAAAAAAAATCAACTAGAATTCAACAAGAAAACAAAAAAAGGGAATAGTCAAGAGGAAAAATCCTCTACGCCAGGACCAGGATCCACATTCTCATTATTAACATCAGTATCACCGTCAACAAATATTTGATCAAGAACAACCATCAAACCGCGTTACAAGCAAGGTATTCGTTGATTCAATTAATTTTGAATTAAATTAATTAATTATTTTATTTTATTTTTAACAGTCAATCTAAAGTTTTTAATTTTAAAAATTAATTTAATTGGTTTGTTTAATTTTTTAATTACTCGAATAATAAAATATATTAAATTATATTATATTTTAAATTATTAATTTTTTATATGTAAAATAAATTAAATAAAATCATCCAATAAAAATATTTAAATATTAAAATATTAAATTAAAAACTTTAATAATTTAAAATAAAATAAATAATTTCATATATTTTTAACTTTATTTATAGATTTTATTATATTTTAATTACAATTTTGATTAATTCAAAATTTAAATTTAATTAACCCAAAATTAAAATTTTTTAAAAATTATTTTTAATAATTAATTAAAATTAACTCGATTGATTAATTAATTATAAAAACTTCTCGATGCCCGTGCCCGTGCCCGTGCCCGTGCCCATGCCCTAAGAGAGAGCAAAAATACATCTTAGGCCCCAGCATTACACGAGTTGAGGGGTCCACTTTTCTTCTGATCTCAGCCCTTGGTTCCTTTGATGTGCTCTCCAAAGAAGTGCTGTAGATTGTACAGCAACGCTGGGGAAACAAGCCCTCTGTCTAGTATTTCTCACCTGGATCACCACATACGTCCACGTCCACCAAGTTTGACCGTCCGATGATGGATGATCAACGACCACAAAATATTGGGCTTTCGTTTTCCATTTTCTCGCCTAATGACCCTCCCAACCTTCGATGGGGAATTTGCTTCACTATTAACTGTTTAAAAGGGCACTAAACTGTTCCTTACTCTTCAAATTTACTACTGTATCTTCAACTGCCCTAACAATATGTCAATGTTTTAATTTGTAATAAAAAAATTTATTGAAGAAAAAAGAGGATTGGGGCGGTTTCATGCCTCAAAAAAGGGCGTTATAGACACTAAAAAATTGAAAAAATATTTTTCTTTGGACAATTCTAAATTATTTTTCTTAAACACTTGTTAATTAATATATAAATTGATAAATTCATTGATAGTTTTTAGTTAAATAATTATTTAATTATATATATTGATAATGATTTATTTAATAGTATTAATAATGATTTAATTATATTTTTTCAAAATATGTGATCTCGTATAATTATAATAATATAATAACATAATATTTTAAATTTTATTTATAATTTTAATATAAATTATAAGTGAACACTTTAAAAAAAAAAAAAACATAAAACCTTCATTGAATGAGAAGCAAATGGAATTAAAGAAAGGCATTAAGAATATCCTTTAACTATTCCATTTTTCTTAAACAAGCTCATACTTTATTGTATAAAAATAAATTTTTATATTTTAATTTGTATCTAAATAAATCTTTATTTTTAATAAAAAATAGTTATTTTAAAAGTTTATTTAAATATAAATTAAAAGTTTAAGAGCAATGATGATAACGAATTAGATTAAGATAAATTTTTACTTACCTCAAATTTAACTCGATTTTATAAAATAAATATTCGAATCAATCTAATTTAATATTAAAATATTATTTTTTAATTTCAACTCAAAATTAATTTAATAATTTTAATTTAATATAATATTTATAAATATTATTTTTTAATATAAATTATATCTTAATTATACATAAATATAATAATTTAAATTAAAGTATTACATAATAATCTTAGTAATATAATACATATATATAAATATAAAATTAAATAAATAATAAAAAAATTATTTATATCAAATCATATTAGAACAAGTTACCCTAAAACCCAACTCCGATTTTATTCAAAAAAAAATCAACTTAATCCAAAACCTAATTTAAAAAAAAAAAAATTTATAGAATTAGGTTGAATCGAAAGTTGATGGGTTTGTTTATTTTTACCAGCTCTATTCAAGAATTGATTAAAAAATAAATTAAAAATTAATGATTTATTGGAATGTAAAAAAAATAAATATTTATCTAAATAAAGTTATAAAGTTTAAAGAATTTTTTGTTATTTTAGCAAAAAAAAAAATCTTAACGTATTTTTTGGCTAAAAATTTTTTTGGCCAATAATATTTTACTACCTATTATATTTCATGTCATTGAAGCGATGCCGCACACAAAGAAACTGAGCTTTCGAATAGGATGATGAGAAACTTGCCAGTGGCATCCATGAGAAATCAGCACATCTTTGGTGGGATGTGAATCAATAGTAAGAATCAAACCTGAATATCAATTCTCCTTTTGGTTTGTAAACAACAAAACCGTCACCAAGACAAAGTACAGAGGTCTTGTGGACTGTTAGCTGGGTTTAATCAGAAATTTTCATCCACGATCGCGACTCTTGCCGTGCTTTATCAGCTTAAAAAATTTATAAATCTTAGCTAGACAACAAGCGAGATAAAGGAACTAAGAAGAGAAATTGTTGGAGGAAAGCATGTGGAAGTAGGTTTAAGTTTG